ACCGGGTCAAAGGTCAAACTGGAATTAAAATACATTGGGATTTATATTTTTTTACAACATAACTAGCAGATTGAAGGTGCATATTTTTTTTCAATTGCAAAACAAAAGTTAACAAAACTAACAAACCGATACATTTCTTTATATCCTTTGTATTAACCCTAGTCAATAATTTGTAGGATCACTTTTAGCTTCAGTTAGACATGAATCCTGGGGGAGATTACCAGCTTTGTCCAAGTGGGTCCTCCATTGTTTGACAATAAACTCCAAAATAACTTAAAGGAACACTATAGCCACCTAAATTACTTTAGCTAAATAAAGCAGTTTTAGTGTATAGATCATTCCCCTGCAATTTCACTGCTCAATGTACTGTCATTTAGGAGTTAAATCACTTTGTTTCTGTTTATGCAGCCCTAGCCACACCTCCCCGGCTATGACTGACAGATAGTGATGTCCCGAACGGTTCGCCAAACTGTTCGCCACGGACTCATCAGTTAGTAAACTTTGACCCTGTACCTCACAGTCAGCAGACACATTCCAGCCAATCAGCAGCAGACCCTCCCTCCCAGACTCTCCCACCTCCTGGACAGCTCACTAAGAATGCAGCTTCACAATGAATGTAAAATGGATGCTGTCCAGGAGGTGGGGGGGTCTGGGAGGGAGGGTCTGCTGCTGATTGGCTGGAATGTGTCTGCTGACTGTGAGGTACAGGGTCAAAGTTTACTCACTGATGAGTCCGCGGCGAACCGTTCGTGGCGAACCGTTCGGGACATCACTACTGACAGAGCCTGCATGAAAAAAAAAACTGGTTTTGCTCATGAATGGCAGAGAATTGAGCAGTGTCATATGCATTAAAACTGCGTCATTCAACTACTGGTTTCACCAGAGCATACACCAGGTACTGTAGAGACTGAATCTTTACATAATGAATATATTGACTATAAACTAATTTACCAAAATTAAAGGCGTTATGAAATGTAGATTTTGTAAAGTTATTTTCTTGCTGTTTCATTTTGTTCAATCTGCTAACATATTCAGACAAGTGGTCTGCATACATCATCAGATAGCATGACCCCATTTATCAAATTACTCGAACTCTGCTTTTATTGAGAGGGTTTTACCAAGTTTAGCAATATTCTATATTCAAGCTACAGATAGGCAGACTCCGAGTTATTTTGTTCCCTTATTTAATAGTTTATATGGTATTTACAGGAATAAAGGAGGAAAGCATGCTGTCTTCTACCCGACATTAAAGGTAAGCTAGGCTTGGGCCAAATGTATGGCATCATCCTCTCTACTCCCCTGTTTGTTTGGAAGGCTATTAGCTTAAGGTACATTGCTCTTGTATCTTTCTGTCTGAGAATATTATGTAAGGAACTCACTAGTGGCAGAGTATTACACTGCATCCTATAGTTACATGTCACCAAGCTTGATACTTTGACTGAGAGTGGTTTGTGACGCTCTAGAACAGTGGTTCACAACCTTGCATCTCACACACCCAACTAATGCACATTACTAGCTTAGCAACCCATTCTTTAATAAGGAAAATGAACTCAGTGACACATTCTTCAGCTGTAATATAATTAACATTAGAATACATTTTGCAAAACACCATAATTATACTCTTCCCAGGGTAATAATGGTCTCCACTGCACTGGTGAAAAAACAGCGTATCTTCAGTAAACAACTTATTGTGGGCAATTATCTGAGGCCTGATGAGTATGATGATCCTGACTCCACCATTTTACCCCCACTAACATATCATGAGGACCCACTTTTGGGTCACAATCCTGTTTAAATAACCACTGCTCTACAACCTTGGGTATCAGGCTGGTGCCCCTTAATTCACTTCTTAATTAGAAAACTATTGTTATTTATTTATCTATTTTTTTTAAATACTACTGTTTTCTAATTTTTCGAGAGACCGCATTAAAATGCAAATGCTCTTCAAAATGATATGTGATGATCAAGTGATGACATTACATTACTTATTACAGCATCTCTTTGTTTATCAGTCCATCCAGGTGCGTCTGGAACTTGCAGAAGAACTAGGTACTGGAATAGCTATCTGGGAGCTGGGCCAAGGCTTGGACTATTTTTATGACCTTCTATGATTGCACAAGAATGGACATATTAGTCATGGCTTGTTCTATTGATAATTCTGGAAATTTAATGGGCAGATGTTTATGGGAAGTTCAGGGGGGAGGCAGAAATCAACGGATCAAAGGAGGGCTGGCAAATATTTTGTGTTTAGTATAAATGTGTAGGTGGTACAACTCAGCGAAGAGGTGAAAACAAAGCAATTACTTGATTGAATCATATTTCTTTTTATTGATAATTTTTTACATTGCCTATTTTTTTCTGTATGTATTGTTTTGAAATCTGAATTATGTTTTAGTGCCCTCACAATGTTTTCTTGACCTGTTGTTAGAAAAAGAAAAAAAAAAGAAAAAGCCAAAACACTGGTCCTTAACCAACTCTAGTTGAGATTGTTATCTAATTTAGTGACTATGCAATCTGGGTTACTCTGGTTCTTACACCTGGAGCCTTATATGGTCATCTTCATGGAAGTGGTTTGGACAGTGGTGTGGGAGGGGACCAAATAGTGGGAGGTGCCTTAATTATTAATATAGACGTCCTCCTGTGTCATGCCAAGGTTTAATTAGAAAATTAATGTTTAGACATTGTTAATTTATGTTTCATAGCAACAATATTTTTTACAGACGTTATGGCTGCGATTACCTTTTTCCAATTTCTTTTTCTTCTTTTTTTAAATGCAATCTTTAGTTGATTTGTTTTTTGTATAATATGTTTTAGCAGGAGGTGAATACTGGTATTGTGCTGAATTTTGCGATAGTTACTTTTAATTACTATTTAAAGAGACCTGGTGATGTGAAGTTTAGTAGGATTTAAAGAAAGCCATGTTTCAGAACTGCTATTTTACTAAAATGCAAATTGGCAGAGTTAAGAAAGTAAACCAGAACTTAGTGGAAATAAAGACACCTTTCAAACATAGTTGAGATTTTTGTCTGACGTTATGAGTGAATTAATAAATCATCAAGACTTCAAACTGCCTTTAGCACTTGCTGGTTTTCCCATAAAGTAGTTTAAGTGTGACCAAAACTTAATTGTTACATTTTGAAATGTCAAATTTAAATGTTTTCATATACATATTTATCAAGGTATTCAAGTTTTGTTAGTTATTCAACACTAAACGATGCTTGTAAACACTTAGGATCTCATTATAAATTGAAGGATTTAGTAGAGTGTTATAGTGCCAGTTTTCAGTGAATTATCTGAAGCTATAGGATAAAAAAATCCCCAAATTCTCTAATTCACCTATATATTCACTTTGACTTGCCAACAATTCACACTTTCCACGCTATATACCTCCTTGTATTTTGGATGTCTGGAAGTCGAGCTGTCACACAGAGAGCTAACAACTAATCAATAAGCAATGCATTCACATTTCACTGTTCATATGAGATATCTTTTTTTATTTTTTTTGATGTCTAAAAGAGAAGTCAAGTGGATACCTAGAGACCCACTGGATCAAATCTCCCCGACTTAAACTCAGACAAATGACATGGTACCTTTAAATGTGTGCAATTATGTAAGTAAATCACTACATGTAGAACAATCACTGTAGACACCAGTGGGGAGACTTTTCTGCAGATTGTTAAAAAAATTTGACTTTTTGCCCTGAATTTCTGCACTTGTGAAAACCTTACCCTAGACCCACTAGTGAGACCAGCTAAATTCCAGAATAACTTTAAATAGAAATTAAACCTTTTCTATCTCCTCGTTATTTTGTGATATTGATCTTCTTCTAAATTATGATTTATATTTTCCCCTTATATTAATGGTTGCCAGGACCAGTGCAAGGATTTTTGGGTGCACAGGCGAAGATGATTTTGCCCCCTTTTTCCTCCCTCCCCCCAAAAGCATCTTCACCTGTGTGCCTCTTAACCAGCCTTTTGTTTCTTATCCACTTTTTTAAATGTCTTACCCCCTTTAGTGTATCTTATCCCCTATTTTTCACCATTGTGTCTTACACCTCCCTTGTGTATCTCTTACAACCCTCTTTGTGTGTCTTACTCCCCTGCCCCTTTGTATGTCTCCTTCTCTCCCAGCTCATTTGTGTTTCTCTTTTACCACAAGCCCACCTATCTCCCCCCAACTCCCCTGTGTCTTTTTACTCTTCTCCAGCTCCTCTGTTTCTCTTTCACCCGCATCCCCTTTGTATTTCCACTCCCAAGCTTTTCTGTGTGTTGCTTTCATCCCCAGCACCTCTGTGAACTTCCTAACTTCCAGGCCCATTTGTGTGTCTTTCTCCCCCCTCATGTATCTCTGTGTGTCTTTCTCCCCACTCAGCCCCCCCTGTGTGCCACTCTCCCCTTCATGTCCCTTAGTGTTCCTCTCCCCTCCCCTCCATGTCCATTACTGGTCCTGGTCCCCTCCCTGTCCCTTAATGGTCCTCTCACCCCCAACCCTCCTTCCTGTCCATTAGTGGCACTCTTCCCTGTCCCTTAGTGTTCCTCTCTCCTCCATGTCCCTTAGTGTTCCTATCCCCTTCTCCCCTGTCCCTTAGTGTTCATCTTCTCTCCCTTAACTGTCCCTTAGTACTACTCTCTTCTCCCTCCCCTGTCCCTTAGTGTTCCTCTCTTCTCCCTCCCCTGTCCCTTAGTGTTCCTCTCTTCTCACTCCCCTGTCCCTTAGTGATCCTCTCTTCTCCCACCCATTTCCCTTAATGTTCCTCCCACCCCCCCTCTTAGTGTTCCGGTCCCTTCTCTTTTAGTGCCCTGCCCCACCACAGTGTTCCTTTTCCTTTACCTCCCCTGTACCTTAGTGCCCCCCCTTAATGTTCCTCTCTCTCCCCCCTAGTGTTCCTCTCCCTCCCTCTTTTTTTAGTGTTCTTTTCCCCTCCCAGTTCCATAGTGTTCTTTTCCCTCCCTGTCCCATAGTGTTCTTTCTCCCTCCCCGTCCCAGTATTCTTCCCCTCACCTGTTCCATAGTATTCTTCCCTCCCTTTTCCATAGTGTTCTTTCCCCTCCCCTTTCCCATAGTGTTCTTTCCCTTCCCTCCCCTGTCCCATAGTAGTGTTCTTTCCCCTCCCTCCCCTATCCCTTAGTGTTCTTTCCCCTCCGTCCCTCCCCTGTCCCATAGTGTTCTTTTCCCTCCCTTCCTCCCCTGTCCCGTAGTGTTCTTCCCCAGCCCACTATCCCATAGTGTTCTCCCCCTCTCCCGTCCCATAGTGTTCTCCCCCCGTCCCATAGTGCTCTTTCCCCCTCTCCCCTTTACCATAGGGTTTTTCCCCCTCTCCACCTTAGTGTTCCTTCCCCCCATCCCTTAGTGCCCATCCCCTGGTCCCCGGTGTGTCTCCTACCTTTCTGGTAGCGTGGCTGAGCGGAGCGGTGCACACTGCGGTACAGAAGCTTCAGTTGCCTGGCTGACAGAACGTGCTCTCTCAACCTGTCTGATGCTGTTCTGTGCTGCAATTGTTAGGCTGTGGGTCATAAAATATCCCAAATTAGCATTAACAGCTCTGAAATGACTCCGCGTGAGTCAGTAGCTTTAAATGAATATTCATGTTCATACTGTAGATTCTTATCTTGGATCCTCAGATTTGTTTTCTTGTGCACAGTTAATCCTAATAAGGAAGCTGTATTAGTTGGCGCTTTACGATACGGATGAATGCAGCTGCGATAGTTTCTAATTTTCTTTTACTGTCATCACAACGTTTAGAATGTAAGTGAAAAGATTATATTCTTTATTAGGCATCACTTTTTTTTCCCATCATTATCTAAAGCTAACATCTGTGAACAAAAACGGTGAAATCTGAAAAACAACTGAAATGGCATTGCTCCACATAGATGTTGAAATTTCAGTTCAGTTCAGGATCCCTAAATTATGGTACTAAGCTTTTACTAGTTTTTCTGTATAAGGCCAAGAAATTTGTTTTGTGAGCATTTTGTTCTAAAATAAATAAATATATTCTTGCAAAAAAAACAAAATGTGGTTATGATGTCCGAATTTTCTCTAATTTCAGTTCAGGTACTAGATAAACCCACTTGAGGAGAACGTTTAGAGTGGATCCCAAACTAGTCCTCAGGGCCCATCAGCAATACAGGATTTATGTATTTCCCTGTTTTATTCCAATGGAGATGCTGACCAGATCTGGACTTTTCGTGGGTCTTGAGGATTGGTTTGGGAAACATTTGTGTAGAGAAAACCAGTGAATGTGCACGTATATTTCATGGCAAATCATTGTTTGCTATATAAAAATAAAATAGCAGAAACCTAATCAGAATGCCATGCAAAGTATGGCTTTTGTGTATATATATATATAGAACAACAAATATTATTTAACAATGATGGTGCCTCCACACCATCACAGTTAGAGACTTATGTGCACCTAACACTGAATAGCACGTTGTGTCTGAACTTGGATCTGACAAACCTGCCAACATTCTGAGCCCACCTTACAGGATGGAGTGGGCTGGGAAGAGAGCAGGCTCTGTGCAATTGGTGTACCTGCCGGTCAAGGCAGAGGCCCCACTAGCAAAGGGACTTGATAGGCCTCTAAAGAGGATTGCCAGTATGACTGATAGCCTGTTCTTCTCAAGGAGACCATGCATGGAATGCTGCAAAAGCAGAAATCAAAATTAAGGACTAATCTATCCCAAAATGCACAACTGTCCTGGCAAATTTAGGGCAGTTGGCACCTATAGGGTCACTGGGCTGACCTGGTTCCTTTTTGGTCACATGGCTTACCCATGTGTCAGTAGTTAAGACATCTTTTTTTTTTTCCCACATCCAGCAGTGACACTCAATCGGGGTTATTTTCTAAAGTGAGAATTCAATAGGAATTTCAGATGTAAAGGCCTTTGAATTCTCACTACAGTGAATAACCCTGAATGCCTCACAGATCTACCCCCATCAGTCACGCCTCTCCTGTCTTTCATTGCCTAACTGGAATTCTGGGAACAAGTATCTCTTTGCACAAAACCTGTTAGGTTGCTATGTGATACACCACATTGCTGTTTTTGGTCAGTTTAAAATAATTATTTTTTTCTATTTTAATTTTTCTAATACATTTTGATGTTATCGACTTTTGGAGGTAATCTAACGGCAAATAATTATTGTCAGCCAGTACTTTTTGCTTGTTTCACTTCTCTTGTAAATCCCAATTTTGGGTGGTAAGGCATCTCTGCTGTGAGACTATATGAATAGGACATCACTGACTCTTACTGGGTTAAGTGAGTTGCATCTACAATTTCATCCCTGATATGTAGGTTAGGTTATAAGATAGAACTGACTTGCCAAGTTGCTTATGACCTGGGGAGTTTTCATATTTTCATATCCCTATATGGTTGATAAAGACTTGTTACACATTCACGGGGAAGGGCAAAGGTTCAGACATGCTTCAGATATTGTCACCAAAGAAGATTGCATACAATGATTACTCTTTATATACACATATAACAATTTGCATTTTTAGCTTCTTATTATTCTTTGAAAGCCTGGAGCCATGCAGGGTGTATTGATGTTTCTTGAAAGCCTGAAGCCATGTTATTTACATTTTTTTTCCATTTTAAAAAAAAGCTATTTATTGGGTATCTTCCAACAGGGTTGAGTTATTTTGGAAATACATTTTGTGAGGCATAGAAATCTTCAAGAATACATAGAAACATAGAATGTGACGGCAAATAAGAACCATTCGGCCCATCTAGTCTGCCTAATCTTCTAAATACTTGCATTAGTCCCTGGCCTCATCTTATAGTTAGGATAGCCTTATGCCTATCCCACGCATGCTTAAACTCACTGTGTTAACCTCCACCACCTCAGCTAGAAGGCTATTCCATGCATCCACTACCCTCTCAGTAAAGTAATACTTCCTGATATTATTTTTAAACCTTTGTTCCACTAATTTAAGACTATGTTCTCTTGATGTAGTAGTTTTTCTTCTTTTAAATTTACTCTTGTCTTCTACTACTACTCTACTTTACTGTGTTGATTCCTTTTATGTATTTACATTTTTCTTCCCTGCCCCCCCCCCTTATTTATTTTTTAATTCTTTGTTTTTGTACGTACGTATTTCAGCATTGACATAAAACATGAGAAACAAAAGCATTGTAAACAAGAGGGATCAAGATAAACTGCACTGTTTTTTGGTTTTGTTTTACACGACAAGAGAAACATTCTTGGTCACAATATGTGAGGAGAGTAGTGATCAGGAGTATTGATAAGGTTAAGGTGTTTAAACTGACAGATCTGTAAGGTATAAAAAGCGATACATTGATGATTCCAAAGAACATAAGATACAACATGAGTTACACTGTGCTAGGCTTGCAAAACCATAAGTGTAGAAGGCTAAAACTAAGGCACAGTTACTGGATTAAATAGCTCTAACAGATTATCAGATAGTTTACCGGTAGTACCACTGGGTGTAATTAAGCAACATATAAAGAAAAGAAAATATGAGGTTGATAAGATTTAGAGATCCAGAAATCCCTCTGCATGGCAAGAAGCTCCCAAGCTTGGTCACCCGATGCCGAACGCGGACCACAGCCGTTGGTACAGTTCCCTATAAGATACGGCATTCCTTTCTGCCATCGCAGGACCGTGAAGGCACCGCTGGATATTGCGCTGTGTAAGATAGGGCTTTCCACCAGACTCCAGGCCCTGTAGGGGGCTATAGCCCCAAGTCCATGGACCCTCCATCTACAGGTGGCAGAGTCACGTGCCTACAGGATCTCCTGTGTTCGATTTTCCCCATGCTTGAGCTCTGGTCCAGGCAGCCACTGGCCCGGAAGAGGAATGGGTGGCATGGCCAGCTGTAGGGCACAGCAGAGTGGCTGGAGGGGTGAGTACCTTGTGTCTGGTGCTGAGCCTGTGCCAGAACTCCTTGCATATAGTGTCAAATCTGGCATTGAATGACTCAATACACTCCAGGCCATCATAGGGTGGTCGGCTTGGTTAAAGACCAGACGCGGCCGCCATCTTGGTTGCACCACACGGATATCTGGGTAGCTGATGAGGAAATCTCAGATGCTGTATGCCCCAATGGGGACTGGGATATCCCCCCACCGGTCTGGGGGGGGGGGCTGTGAGAGGTTGCCAGGTGCTCGCTCAGTGTTAGATCTGTCGCCTCTCCGTTTCACCGGCACAGCAGAGCGAGCCAGCATGCCTCAGGTTCAGATGGATTCACCGCTTGGTATATGTTTCGGTCCGGACGGGTTAAGTTGCACCAGCTAATAATATCAGACCTCCGGTAGTTTAAGGGCACTTATAGCCAAAATAGTGAGTTGTGAGGCTTAACATTAGCTCTATGTGTCCGGAGCTACAGAGGGACACATCTGGCCATCTTGGCTGTCAGGCCACGTCCCCGTCATTATTTATTTTTAATGTGCAGAAAGATACATACCAGCTTGTTATGCCACAACAGTACACACCACAACAAACTTTGGCAAAGACGTAGCTTATAAGTTACATGACATTTCCAGTACAACTTGCACATATTTAAAAAATTAGGGACGGCAAATAACAGAGGGCATTGGAGCATGACATTGTAAAGAAAGTAGGCAGTATGCATGGAGATTATTGATAAGGAAAAAAAAACTCATTAGGCCCCATTAGGCATGCTAGCCATGAATACCACATAGATAAAACACACAATTATATAATGCTGGGACACTATACTAGTGATAAAGAACACTGCAGCAAGGCTTGGACTTCAACCACTGGGGCTGCAGAGCGGTCCTCCATGAAAGTCCTGGAACCAGGATCAAGTGGCCATGTGAGGGTAGGTATATGGTCATAGTATGGTGGTCCGGTAGACTTGTTGGTGTCTTCTAGATTCTTCTCGATGGCTTCAAGACACAGCAAGGTTTGTTGGACAGCAACACTTTTTAGTGGTCCGGTGGCTCCCATACTGCCAAACCCAAGACGGTATCCGACAGTGTCTGAACTGCCGATCTCAGTAGGCTTCCTTCAGCAAGGCCAGAATCCATGGACTCTCTGCCACTGTTGCAGTGCGTGGTGGTGCAGGTTTTTAGGCACGCTCTCGGCTGGTCCCAGAAGAATTCAAAAATTTGGTCTAGTCACTGCAGGCCATCACAGTGCCCTCCATTAGGATCCCCACTACTGAAGTAAGACTTACTGGCCTATAGTTTCCTGACTCCTCCCTATTACCTTTCTTGTGAATGGCCACAATTCAATGCTAATTTCCAATCTTACTCCCATTAACAATGATTGGTTAAATGAATCCCTTAGCGGTTTTGCTAGTACGCCACTAAGTTCTTTTAATAACTTTTAGTGTATCCCATCAGGCCCCATCAACTAATTTGTCTTTTACTTTAGACAGCTGAAGTAGAACCTCTTCCTTTGCAAACTCACATGTAACAAATGACTCAGTTTTTTTTTCCTAATCGAGGTCCCCTTCCTTCATTTTCATCTGTAAATACTATATCCTAATTGAGGTCCACTTCCTTAATTTTCATCTGTAAATACTATATTATTAATTGAGGTAGTGTGCTATACCGTTATCCTCTTCTACATACCTTCCTTCTTTTGTTTAATCCTGGTTTTACTTTTCTTTTCTCATTTATGTATCTAAAAATGTTTTATTCCCCCTTTTTGACTGACTAAGCTGGAAATGTAAACTTTATTCTTTCTTTTTTAAATGTTTTAATTTTTGAGAAAAGGTGCTATCTTTCATTCTAGAACCAAATAGGTTAAACATAAGGCACGTGTAATCTGCCCAATCCTGGTGGAAGAGGATGAATACAATGTTATCACAAGATCCATTCTGGTATTTCTTCTTGATTCTTGTAAGTATGATTGAGATTGTTTCGGTTCTATTGTCAGAGATTGCACAGCAGGATTTGATGAGATCAGCTTGCTTCCCAAGGTTGTGATGCCTTTCAGTGAGGTTCTCTTAAAGCGCTTAGTGTAGCTTCTCCCCATCTCACAAAAACGAGACGTGTTTCCATTGTTTTTCTGGTCTCAACGCTCTGGGCAGCACTAAATGTTACCACTACATGTAGGAAGGACCTTGGTAATTAGAGCTTAAGATATTCACTGCACG